AATTCAATACGGCAGTAGTTTCGGTGGCTTGTTGTGCAGTAAACAGAAGCGCAGCCTGCAGTGTGCCTTTGTTTTTATGTCAACAGTGAGCCAGAAGACACACACATCTTTTTGTTTTGCCCCTTCAACCTATTACTGGATGTCACTTGCTCCATCAAATCATTTAAAGTAATAGTTTGACATTTTGGGAAATTTGCTAATTTGCTTTCTTGATGAGACTTAGATAAGAAGAATGATTCCACTCTCATATCTGTCCATTAAATATGAAGACTGCAAAAAGGGAGTAACAGCTAACTGGTTCTGTGCAAAGGCAGCCAATGATTAAATATTAGTGAACTTTAGAGATGCTGGTAGTCGGATTTTTATACCTTATACCTTTGGGCGAATCCAGCCAGCTGCTAGTGGTAGTGTCATACTTAGTGTAGGTGAGTGGCATCCATGTCGTCATCTAACTTTAGCAAGAAAGCGAATCAATTTATTTCTAAAAATGGCAAATTCCTTCTTTAAGGATATTACCCTACTTTATATTTGCATTTTAAATGTGACCAAATGTGCATATATTGTAATTCTTTTCACTTAGATTCCATTTAAATAATAGGCTAACATTGAAAAAATGTAAACTGGTAAACTGATTTTTTTTTTTTTTTTTTTTTTTTTTTTTTTTTTGCTTTACACTGAAATAACACTTGTTTTTATCAATTATTTGATTGAACAGCAAACATGGATTTGGAAGAGTAATGGATAATCCATGACTTCTCCTTTTTGCAGTTGCACTTCATGTTTATTTCCCTGAAACTCAAACACAAATTCAACAGTGCTTCGTCCTTTGTTGCATACACTATAAATCATGTAGTATGTTTGGGTGTGTGACAAACCAAATAGATAATGTTTTGTTTATGTGCTGTAAAATAGCAAAAACAAAGAGACTGAGCTGATACTGAAGAGCCTCAAGACTCCCAGGGAGCTCACAGTTTTGGATTGGAAATGGGATTCTGTGCAAGACTTGACTCTTTAATGTGTTTACATTAACATGTAGCAATCACAATCCAAGGTCACACTGCCATGGCTGGATACAATATCAAATGTAAACATAACTTAACAAAATAAGGCAGCAAGATTTTTGTTCTTTGCAGTCAAACACCCTCCTTTTTCTGACTCAGCCAAGAGTTTATAAGTGAGTATAAACACAAATTAAAGACATCTGCAGAAAAAACAACCAGGTCAATAACCCGGTTCCAAGATGTCAGAGAAAATATTTTCTATTGTATCAATAGTCGAGATTGCAACAGAACAAATGCAATGTGTGTGTGTGTGTGTGTGATGTTCATTGTACGACATGCAATCACATGAATTAAGAAATAAAACGATGCTCAAATCTACCTTGATCATAAACAATTACAAGCATAGATTCAAAGTTTGTATTTGAATGTATTTATTTTTTCCTGTGTCTTGTTTACAGCTTTAGATAAAAGCAGGTTAATTTGCAGGGAAAGATGCACAGTAGTTGAGCCTGCAGCAGGACTGTACAGTGAGATCAGAAGACACAGACAGCATCGACCAAGATCCATCTGTCTGCTATGTGCTGGGAGGAGTGTGTAGGGCATCGAGTGCACACACCTACACACACACAAGCACACACACGCACCTCCCATCACCAGCTGGATCGGTGAAAGCAGCACTTGGGGAACAGTTGACACGCTGATCTCTTTAATGGTTACATCCTCCACACCCAGTGGCTGAGACACTCAGACACACGCTTTCATTAGCTTAAACCGACTGACAGAAAAAATACATATTGCAACTTTCCTTCCCCCTAGAGTCACAGCACTCACATGCGCAGCTCCCCTCTGCTCTCTCACACACACACATCCATATACACACTATCCTGTTAGCAACCCCCACCTCCATGCAATCAGAGGCTCAGAATAGGAAGGAGGGAGAGGAAGCGGCCCTGCATTCACACGCTGGGAACAAGGAGAAGGAAAAACAGCCGGAACCTGGAATTTAAGGAGGAAAAAACAGCAGTCATCCAAAAATACCTCAGGTCCTTCTCCGCAGATAAACAGAATAATCATTACTCTCATCCTCCAGCTCAGGACAGTTTTCCTTACGTACTTCCTTCATCTCATCCTCCACTCCTCAATTCTGCATTTGGCTACTCAACACTGAGGAAATGTTCTCAAGTAGCAGGGCTTTGTGATATCTGCTCAATGCAATGGCTCCTCAGATGATTCCTTAAAGCCTTCCTCAGTCTTCCACGGGTCAGGAAAGCCACACATAAGGTCTAACTAATCTGGACTAGTCGGAACAAAGCAGGGCAGCTGAGTCTCTCAACAGCACACCAGACACCCAGCAAGTGGTTCTCTCTGCTTTTAAAAAGGCCCCCCCCCAACAGGTTTTGCATTGCATCATAATAACACAATCAGGCATCCAAAGCTGAGTTCTGGAAACAGATGCTCCTGCATGCAAGTGATGTATTTGTGGAAAAACTGTGATATCTGGATTGTTCAAATTCACTATGACAACTGGGTGATCCTTTATAGTGTACTAATAAATATAAATAAGCATAAGTTTCCCATTAAGATCCGCTCCTCTTGCCAGATATACTGTAAGTTAACCAGGTTGTCAAAGCCACTAGACAGCACTGTGACAGGGCTTTTTCTGTGGCTAAGGGTTCAGTGACCCTGAGGTCATTTCCTCTGACCTCCTCTTCCTAACTGATTCAATTTCCGAGCCATTGGTCTCCTATTAGGATGTTCTATT